CTTCCCCTCTCCCTCCCTCCCTTCCTTCCCGTCTCCCTCCCTTCTCCCCTCCCTCCCTTCCTCCCTCTCTCCTTCCTCCTCCTTCCTTCCTTCTCCTTTCCTTCCTTCCCTTCTCCCTCCCTCCCTTCCTTCCTCCCTTCCTTCCTTTCTTCTTTCCCCTCTCCCTCCCACTGTTCCTTCTTCCCTCCCTCCCTTCCTTCCTTCCCCTTTCCCTCCCCCTTCCTTCCTTCTTCCCTCCCCCTTCCTTCCTTCTTCCCTCCTTCCCTTCCTTCCCCTCTCCCTCCCTCCCTTCCTTCCCCTCTCCCTCCCTCCCTTCCTTCCCCTCTCCCTCCCTTCCTTCTTCCCTTCCTTCCTCTCTCCCTTCCTTCCTTCCTCCCTTCCTTCTCCCCTCCCTCCCTTTCTTCCTCCCTCCCTCCCTTCCTTCCTCCTTCCCTCCCTTCCTTCCTTCTCCTCTCCCTCCCTTCCTTCCCCTCTCCCTCCCTCCCTTCCTTCCTCCCTCTCTCCTTTCCTTGTTCCCCTCTCCCTCCCTCCCTTCATTCCTTCTTCCCTCCCCCTTCCTTCCTTCCTCTCTCCCTCCCTTCCCCTTCTCCTTCCCTCCCTTCCTTCCCTCCTCCCTTCCTTCCCTACTCCCTCCCTTCCTTCATCCCTTCTTCCCTCCCTTCCTTCCTCCCTCCCTTCCTTCTTCTCTCCCTCCCTCCCTTCCTTCCTCCCTCTCTCCCTTCCTTCGTTCCCCTCTCCCTCCCTCCCTTCATTCCTTCTTCCCTCCCCCTTCCTTCCTTCTTCTCTCCCTCCCTTCCCTTTCTCCTTCCCTCCCTTCCTTCCCTCCTCCCTTCCTTCCCTTCTCCCTCCCTTCCTTCATCCCTTCCTCCCTCCCTTCCTTCCTCCCTCCCTTCCTTCTTCTCTCCCTCCCTCCCTCCCTCCCTTCCTTTCTTTCTTTCTTAATAGAAAGGTTTTTCTAAAAGGTTTACACACTCCTTCCCTCCAATTGCCTTCAACCTCCAATCTCAGCTTCATAATGAGACTCTTTTAGTTCAATTAATCAGGTAAAAAATTAATCAGTGCACTTCTCTGTCTTTTTATAAACCAGTCATCAAAGCTACACACAAATCTGTCAGCTGTACTTTGAGAATGTGGTCAGTCCCCCAGACCATGTCTATTTCAAGTCACCAGAGTCCTTACCTGAGTATTTCAATACCTCCCCGTCTGATGTCTCTGCCTTTCTAGAGTCTATTATACATCAGATATGAAACAATTCTACACTACCTATCATTTTACCTTTAAATCAGATCATTTATCTCCTTTGTTCAAATATCTCCAATTGTTTGTCATAATGATCAGAATAAAATAAAAAGATTTTATCTGGACCTTCAAGGCCATGATACCATCTGTACCTCTGCTACTTTTTGAATACCATTTCCTAGGACGTTTCACTTTCTCATTCATATTTGCCCACAGGGTAATTTTACTTACCTTTAAACATTGCCGTAAGGGTTTCTAAATGCTGATAACCAATTTGTAGATTTATTTTACAGACCAGTAACAGACTAGCCTTGGTCTGTGTGTGATACTTTGAGTAACGATATTCCAAAACAATGTACTTTTATCACTTTCACCCCCTGACATATTAATTTTATTTTCATTTAGAATGTAAACTCTATGAGGGCAAAGATTCTACTTTGTTGACTGCCACATTTATAACATTTAGAAGTACCTGACCCATAGTAAACACTTCATGAATTTTTTGTAAATGGATGATTGGCTACTGAAGTGTTGAAGTTCTGGTGAGAGTTCCTAGTTCACATATTAATATAACAAAAATGTTACTTTTGATGCTCAGAGTGTTAGAACCTCAAAGATCCTTACAGGTTATCAAGTCCAGTTTATACATGTAGATGAGATAACAGCATTCAAGATAAGCTAAAGGACTCCATGGGGGGGGTCAAACAGGTAGTCAGGGACAGAAATGGAATGAGACTCTTCACTTAGGCTGTATTCACATGACCAGGGCCTTGTTTTCCATTAAAGGCTGTCCTACAACTGCCTAGCTACATAGAAAGAACTCTCAGGCATAACGGTGTGCTGCCAGCAGAAAAACTGTATTATAGAACTTGGTACGGGTATTTAAGAACATTTGGCTAAACAACACTAGTCACTTATGTAATTGGAAAGATCTGTAGGGACATCTTTATCATTTTTCAACTCCTAGTCAAAGGAAGTTAAATGCAGCTAGTTAAAAGGAGAGTTTTTTGAGTCAGTTTAACAAAATCATGTATCATATGTTACCATATACTTACCAATGTTACGTGACAAACACAATCCTGATAATTTAGGATCAAATTATGTATTTCAAGTTGTTTTCTACTAAAACTTGTCTTTTAAAGCTTTGAAAGAATCTCATGAAAATCATTTGTAAATAATCTTTTTGTAATGAAAATAATCACCTTGTAATTTAACTGTTTTGTAAATTTAGATTTCAGAGATCATATTCGCTTAAATATTTTCACACCTGCAGTTGCAACTAACAAATGTTTGACAATTTAGTGTCAGTGGGTTAGAATATTAAATTATTGTAGCTATTATTATAATTAATAACATTTACAAAGTGTTATAATTTATAAAGCAGTTTTATTAGTATAAACTTTTTTGATACTACATTATCTAAGAGATGGTTATAAGGACCAAAATTATTAGATTAATTGCAGGAATTAAAACTTTGGGTATCTTGAAAAGAAGAGGAACTTCTGAGAGATGTTTTTCATAAATTAAAATGAAATGATATAAATTCCCACATATACTAGGTAGCTTTATGTTGGTGCATTATTCAGGACTCATACAGAAGGACTGGTATAAATGGGTTAAGTAAAAACAGATTGATTTTTTCTTATACCATAGACAAAAGGGGAATGAATGAAATCTTCAGCTGATTCTATTATAGGCCCTTTCCTCTTTTCACTTTGTTCAAATTTAAGTTAATTAGATGTAAGAAAGTTAACTAGAAATAGACTATGGGTAGAAAATAAATTTGGCCACCTACCATTGAAACTCTGGGGAGACTTGGAGAGACTGCTCACAGGATTCTGTTGGATGCATGCAAATTATTTTTCAAATGTTTTTATTTTACTTTAAATACAAATGCTCAAATGTTCTGTTTTACTCCCATTAGTACCCATAAGATTTAGTTCTTTGAAAACTGTGTTAAGTATTACTAACTCTTCAGTAACTATTGAATCAAACCCTAGCCACTTGTCTGGTACTCAAGATTTTTTGTGAATTGGAAATATCCATTCTTCCTTTATCCAAACTTATTTTTTCTAAATAATTTTCCAAAATAATCCAAAGATGGTTTTTTTGTTTGTTTGTTTTTTGAGACAGAGCCTCAAGCTATCACCCTGGATAGAGTGCTGTAGTATCACAGCTCACAGCAACCTCCCACTCCTGGACTCAAGCGATTCTCCTGCCTCCTCCTCCCAAGTAGCTGGGACCACAGGCACCCACCACAATGCCTGGCTATTTCTTGGTTGTAGCCCTCGTTGGTGTTTGGTGGACAGGGCTGGATTCAAACCCGCCAGCTCAGGTGTATGTGGCTAGCACCTTAGCCACTTGAGCCACAGGCACTGAGCCCAAAAGATGTTTTATTGCCATGTATTAGTCAACTCAGCCACAGCTTTTCCTATTATTGTTTTTTAAT